CATGCCTGTACATATGTATGTACATGTACGTATGTATATGTGCATGTACATGTACGTATGTACATATGTAAATGTACATGTACATATGGTCTCGGAGTTATGGACATAGGTATGTACGTACATCTACACATGTACATATGTAAATGTACATGTACATACGTACATATGTACGTATGTAAATGTGTAAATGTGCATGTACATATGTACATACGTATGTAATTATACACACATACGTACATGTACGTATGTACATATGTAAATGTACACGTACATATGTACATATGTACATATGTACGTTTACATTTGTACATATGTACGTATGTACATACGTCCGCATGTACATGGGTACGTCTGCACATAGGTATGTACGTGCTCGGGCGGGCATGCCCTACCCCTACATCAGGCCAATGCGTTCATCTAGAAATAGCATAGCGTGCTGGGCGCCCAGGCCAACATTCACATGACTCTAGCTGGCCTTGGACTTGGTGATGGGGCACTGGCCCCACTAACGGAGGCTAGGACTAGCTTTTTGAGTTACCTTAAGGTTTGAGATTGATTAGTTGGCAAAAACCCTGACGATTCACTAAAGGATGGGTTTACCTCACGGTTTAAGTGTGTCCACTTAGGGTTCTACTGTGTTCACATAGGGTTTTAGGCTGTTGTTAACTTTTTTTTTTTTTTTTTTCACTTAGGGTTTTAGGGTGTTGGGCAGAAAGCTCGAAGACTATGTGAAGAGCATCGTCAAATGGGGTTTCTTTTGGGGTTTAAATTGACTGTTCACCGAAAACCCTGACGATTCACTAAGGGGTGGGTCTGCCTTAGGGTTTTAGTATGTTGTTAGCTCGGGTTCACTTGGGGTTTTAGAGTGTTGTGAACTTGGGCTCGGGCTTTAGGATATTCGCTTGGAAGCTTGAATATCCTGTAAAGGGCATCGTCAGATGTTGATTCTTTGTTGCCAGTAACTGGTTATGGACTCAGGGCGTACTCATCCTTGGGAATTCTACGATGTATCTGGGACAAAGTACGGCCAGCTTCAGCCCCGACACTCCCAGCCTGAGGTAAAAGACCTTAGGGTAATCTGGTACATCGCAACCGACAGTAGAAAGATAGTAGAAGGGCAAGAAGAAGAAGAAGAAGAAGAAGAAGAAGAAGAAGAAGAAGAAGAAGAAGAAGTGAAGAGGAAACAGGTTAAAGAAGAAGAAGAAGAAGAAGAAGAAGAAGAAGAAGAAGAAGAAGAAGAAGAACGGAAGAAGAAGAAGANAAAGAAGAAGAAGAAGAAGAAGAAGAAGAAGAAGAAGAAGAAGAAGAAGAAGAACGGAAGAAGAAGAAGAAGAAGAAGAAGAAGAAGAACGGAAGAAGAAGAAGAAGAAGAAGAAGAAGAAGAAGAAGAACGGAAGAAGAATGGATGAAGAAGAAGTGGAAGAGGAAACAAGTTAAGGCATAAAACAAGATCAATCTCCTCCTTCATTCTCTCGCTCCTCCTCCTTAATGTGCGGTGCAGTGCAAAAGAGAACAGAATTCTTGCGATGCGGCACAGAACAAATTTGTGCTGTGCAGTGTGAAGTCTGGGACATGCCAAGTCTACTGGGGCTTACAAGCCCCTTTTTTTTCAACGATTTTGGGCCACTTTAATGGAATATACAATTTGCGATGCTCCAAACCTCTCTTTCCCCATTGTTTTATCATGTTTCAGAAGTCAAAGGGTGCGGGCAGCAGATGAAATCGCTACGACGGGGAGGGAGAGGGGTGGTGTCGAGTACAGAAACACGTGTACAACGAAACTGTAGTGTACAAGGCATTCCACCAATGCCACGTTTGGATATAACGACCATGCCTTTTATTTGAATGCAACATCCATGCATTATTCAAAAAAAAAGTGAGTAAGAAAGTAAATCTGACCTTTTTAGGGTAAGTTGAATATAATGCCCGGACATTGTTTTTGGGTGAAGATGGTACTTGGTATTTAATATTTATGCTTTCAGATTTCGTTTGCGTAAATGATGCTACATGATGTTTTTAGTGTATGATGACAGATGAGGATGGTTTTTGGGTGAAGATGGTACTTGATATTTATGCTTTCAGATTTCGTTTGCGTAAAAGACGCTACATGATGTTTCTATGTCAATGATGACAAATGAGGGATGACGATGATAGACTTGTTGGGGAGCCAGCTCCGCAAGGGTGCAGGGTGACCCTCACGACCACGCTACCCTTTGCAAATAACCTCACCGCTCTGATTAGGGCCTCAGACTCGTCTTTTTAGGCCCTGGCGAGGGCAATGCAGGCCTTCCACCTTGCCTCTGAAATGAGAATGACCTGGCAAAAAACGACGGGCTGGTGGCTGGCTGATACGGCAGTGCCCCTGCAAGCAATAACACTGGAAGGCTTCACTTGGCCAGACAAGGGGATCCCACTGAGATTCTTGGGTATCAAACTAACACACAATGGTTCGGATCAGGCGATGGCCCCGGAAATCCTGGCCAAAATGCTCGGAAAATTGGATGCCTGGCCCAGCATTTATACCTTGGTCTTCGGCAGGGCATCGGTACTGAACTCATCAATCTTCTCTATGCGCTGGTACGCGGTTACAATCTGGACCCTTGAAACCCGTCTCAGAAAGACCCTCAAAAGAAGGGCATCAGCCTACCTAAGGACAGGTAATCAGGTGAAGCAGAACTTCATCCCCAATGTCGCCCGGAAATACGTGATCCAACCAAAGGGCAGAGGGGGACTCAGAATCCTCAACACAGAGACACAAACAAAAGTCCTTCAATCCAAATGGGTCTTCAAGTTGCGGACTCAATGTAACCTACCCTGGACCTCGCTGGGGCGCTGCAGTATCAGCTGCTGCCCAAGATCCGCATGCCCAGCAACATGCAGGGCTTCTTCTGGATCATGTACAAATCCTGGTCAAGCCGAAGGGAGGCGCGGACAGATCAGGACCAGCAACAGGGCTCCCATCAGGTGGGCGGCCGGGATTACTGGTGGCAAGTCCTGAGGACATGGCGGGAAATCTTCCCAGCGAACGTCAAAGAGCTGTCTACTAGGGAGGAGGTCGTAAGGCAACCTCTATTCTGCAACTGATGGCTTAAAGATAGAGCAGACAAGCCTCGGATGGCAGATCGGCAACATGGGTAAAGAGAGGCGTTTGTCAGATAAAGCACTTATGGGACGAAGAACACAAGCGATGGAAAACTCACACGGAGCTCCAGGAGCTCCTGAAGGGCTGCCACAACTTGCAACAGAACCTCAACGACCTGCTGCTGTCCGTTCCACGGTCTTGGACGGTGTTGCTCAAAAGGAGGCCGTCTTGGACGGCAGGTGAATGGGCGACCTGGGAATGGGAGGACCCCGCCACCGTGACCCTTCCCTTCATCAAAAGGGAGCGTCCAAGGGGGGAATGGGGCTTAATGGGAATGTATGCCATCAAGCAGCCAGGCCGAACAGCCAGTCAAGTTAATAAAATCTGCAGGGCACAGGTAACAGTGGAACTCCCATCTCCTCAGGAAAATCAGTATGGTAGAAGACGAAGATTATAGAGTCTACGAACCCACCACGTCTATCCAGGATCTTGAATTCGACCCGGGAGAGTGGGCGTGGAAGATGAGAACCATGATGGAAGGGATGGAACGAAGAACCAATATTCTGAGATACTCTACAAGGCTGGGCTACAGTCTAAGACGAAGATCTGCAAACATCTGAGACACTGGCTCAGCGGTGGAAGAAGAACATGCCTGGGGGACTAGGGGGTCTACCTGCCATACCCTGGAAGGCCGTGTTGGCAATCTGCAACACCAGGATCAGAAGTATGCAATAGCTCATAGCCTACCGGGCCCTCCTGGTCAACAAGTGGCTGAGCAGGAGAAGGGCGAGAACCAATGGGCCGAGTCCCAACGAGAACTGTATGATCTGCGACAGACGGGCAGTGGAAAACATCCTGGTGCAGTGTCATACAGCCGAACAGGTTTGGCGCAGGACCAGAGAAATTTGGAATGCTGTCACCAGCAAAAGGGCTAACTGAGAACACCTTAAAACTGCTCGCTGGATTCGTGGAACCGAAGGGGCTGGCAAAGTGGGAGACAAGCTTTACCGGAGGCTACGGCCACTGGTGCTATGGTCAATCTGGAAAAGGAGGTGCAAAGGCACAGTAGACGCAGAAGAACCTTCCCTCCAGGAAGTCTGGGAAAGCCTCAAGCAGGCATTGCTCATCGAGTAGCACACGGACTGGCAGAAGGTCACCAAACAAATCAAAAGGGAGCCAGAAAAGAGTCAATATCTCATTAACCAATTCGTAAAAGACACGTTGGGAAGCGCGACGCTTGGCGTGATAGAGGGAGACACGCGTAAGTTGAACTGGAGGTTGGACGCAGATGACGGTGGGAGCGCGCACCCGATAGCGCAGGCTGACTCGGAGCGCAGCGAACGGACGATCACAGGACCAAGCATAGCATCAGACTGAAGATGGCAGGGGCCTTGACAAGAGGTCCCAGGCAGCAGGGAAACGAGGGCGACAGGCAGAAGGGGGGGGGACCGGTTCAAATCGCCTCTTAAGAGTTTAGGGCGTATAGCAGGCAATCTGCCTTGGGCATACTAAGAGGGACGGCTAGAAGCAGAGGTGCAAAAGGGAGAATAGGAACAACAGATGCTGCAGAAACGCACAGCAGCACGATGGGGCAGGGAGCAATTGGTTGGTAACAATAGGCTAACTTAGGCAGGGGTGAGGGGAGGTACATCCTTCCGGATTGGAAGTGATCAGTGCTGCCCACTCGGGTCTCCCTACCATAAAGGGGAGAAGAGTTGGAGTGCGTTGTAATTTGTATTCTGACTTGCCGGTGGAATAGGAACTGGACTGACGCTCCCCAGAATGGACACGGAGCCGGAGCTGTAAGGATCCGTTTCTTTTCATTTTAATTTATTTTTTCTTGTTTTTTATTTTTTATTTAAAGAGTGATGATGATGGTGGCGGTCATGTCATGATTTGCGATGATTCTTTTCTGCAGTGGATAGCGCCGCCTTGTTGAGAAGATCAGAAGAGCGGTATCGGGAGATACTGGCATCTCCGTTGTATGAAGAGGGAGAGGTAACAGACTTATAAATGCACTTGCCTCATCTCTTCTGCCCTCGACCTCTGACACTAGCACTTTTCCAACTGAATCTGATCAAAGATTGCTTTCAAATACATGCAGGAAAGTCCTACCGTCTTCGCCCGAATAGAATGCTGTGTCATTATTGCTGTGTATTGACTGAGAGTTGCACCAAATACAGCTATAGTGACTGGGCGTTCCATCTGGCGGAACACGGTTGCGTGAATGTGCCCTCAGCTCTTCAAACACCGTGTCCATCAGCAATGCTTATAGATAAAGTGCCACCACCAGTGGCCCTAGCTCAGTTGGTACGCCCACAAACTGTTGAAATACAGACCCAAGTACGAATCCAGATGTGAATAGACAAACAAGATAAAATAATTCTGAATTAACTGCGGCTGGTCGGTTCTATGATGACATCTCAAGGCCGTCGCCCTGTTTTCTTTTTCCCTTCCAAAAAGAGAAAGTGTGGCCACACAAGCAGTCTCCGGCTGCGCTAGACAACTCCATGACTGAAGTGCTCATTATGGTCGCGTACAGCCAGGAAAGACCTAGTCTGAGTATGCCCTCAGTACATACTCATACATGATGGGGAGGAGTTGCGAGGGAGCTTAAACCGCCCCTGTCTGGGATGGCCTACTTTTTCTCAAAGTGGTGACTACACTACCAGGCCTGGATTCTCCCCTTCTGGACTGCCAAGATGCCGTATCCTACCTGGCGTCGTCAGGTTCTGAAGGTCAGGTATGGAGGTAGTGGTAGTTCAAACTTTTTAAGGTGGCCATCAAGCCTTTCCCGTCCCTCCCTTTCCTTCCATCTCATCTGAACAATAATTGTTTTTGTTTTTCACTTTTTTAATAGTGCAAATCACTCTTCAATGCTCCCAGCTAACATTTTTTTTTTTTTTTTTTTTTTCCCCCTTTGCTTCTGGGAGGTAACATAAGTTTAGCTCCCAGTGGTTCTCAGACAGGTCAAGATGACTCTCCATATGAAACTGCCTAAGCTCGACATTATATCTTCCGCACATTATCCAGCGTCTCCAACATCAAGTGCTCTTATCACCCACCCCATTAGATTCTGCAGTCTTAAAAAAAAAAAAAAAAAAAAAAATTACCCGCCAGTTTGTCGCCATCTGCTTGTGCCTATGCCCTTTTCCATTCAGTGTCTTTCTCAGGCAAGCGTTGCAGGTGACGATTCTGTCTCTTCCCTCTTTCTCAGGCAAGCACTGCAGGTGATGATGATGTTTGTTCCCTCTTTCTCAGGCAAGTAGTGCAGGTCATGATGAATCTTCCCTCTTTTGTAGGCAAGTAGTGCAGGTGATGATGGATCTTTCCTCTCTCTCAGGCTAGATTGGTGGTGGTGACGATCGCTCTTCCAACATAGCCACAGTGAGCACCAAGTAAAAAAACTCTTGATCTGCATATACTGGGGGAGTGTGTCGCCATCTGCTTGTGCGTCCGCCCTCCTTCGCTAAGTGCCTTTCTCAGGCAAGTGTTGCAGCTGATGATGACGTCTCTTCCCTCTTTCTCAGGGAAGCACTGCGGGTGATGATGATGTCTGTTCCCACTTTCTCAGGCAAGTAGTGCAGGTGATGATGAATCTGCCCTCTTTCGCAGGCAAGTATTGCAGTTGATGATGGACCTTTACTCTCTCTCAGGCAAGAATGGTGGAGGTGATGATCGCTCATCTACCATAGCCACAGTGAGCACCAAGTCAAAAAACTCTTGATCTGCATATACTGGGGCACCCGCCGAACCCAAGAGAAGGATTTCTGTGCCCTGGAAAAGAACGAACCAAAGCGTTCTAGCAACATTTGAACCCAACGTCTGTTACTGGGTCACTCAATGAACCCTGTTGCCAACGCTCGCTCCATGCCCCTCTAATAGCTTGACGATCGCCTACTCTTTTGCTCTCAGGCATAGTTCTCCTTCCCATGGAATGCTTAGGCAAGCAGATGCCTTCCTTGCGATCTGAGTACTTACAACCCGTTTTGCCCCACTTGCTTGCTAGGATCTACCCTCCTCCTTCTCTCCCCATACCTCCCCACCCAGAACGGATCAGGTTTGACGGGTGCATCGCCTCATACTCTTAACTCATCTTGTGCTGTTTGTTTTGCATTCCTGCCTATTTCTTCACTCTCTCTTGAGTTCTGGCACTCTCTCAAGAGACCCCATTTATGGGAGTGCTCCCTGATCTTTCCTCTTCCTAGGGCAGGGATTCATCCTCAAGTATTCCTCTGAAGGATACTCCCTCTCGGAAGGCTCTCCTCTCAGGTTCTCATAGGATGTCAGCCTGGACCCTCTTCCTTTTTTTTTTCCTTTCAACCCAAAACACACAAGCCCCTTCTATTCTGGGGGGTGTCAGTCCGGTTGCTTATTACCGGCAAGCAAGAGTACAAGAAACAACAAGAGAAGCAAAAGTAAAAGAAGACTCAGCCATACCATGAGTCGCCTACTCAAGGGGGGGGCGGCCACGAGCCGACCTCCCCCCATACCGTAGCCTTCCTGGCAGACTTCTGCTGGCTGGGAAGCTTACTGGCAGCACCCAGTCACGCAGCAGAAGAGTCTTCAAGGCGCGGGGGACGCCCTCCTAACAGCCTCTCAGGCCGCAAAACCCAAACTTGCTCACAGCTATTCGAACAACGCAAAGACCACCAAAATCAAGTAGCACCAAATACCACTAGTACTAGCCTCCTCCTTCCTACATATGAAGTCTTCCTAATCTTACTCCTAGTGTTTCCCCTAGTCTTTCCTCTGTCGCCCTCCAGTATTTGCCGTCCGCCCTACCCAAACTCTCAGTACCCTATTTATCCTGCCTTGCATTCCGTAGTAGTAATCTCCAGCTTGTACGACAAAGTAGCCTGCACCCTCTTCCATCTGCATATATTTTTTTCTTTCGTTGTTTTAATAAGCATTTGTATGGGGCTAGGCCCTAACATTACTGTAGTCACCGGGATTCAAATATCAACAGTAACATGTGTTGTGCCATTCAGCCGGCAGGTGCGAATCTCAGTCTGCATTCGCTTTTCAACTACTGCCTGTCCTGGCTCTCCATCCACTTTTGTCAATGTTTTTTCCGACGTTTCCACACACCTTGCCATCATTTAACACGTCCATAACAGAGCTCGCAGGGCTGTGATCTTCGCAGTGGACCTTGTCTGACTCGCGTGCAATGCAGGCCAGGGTTAGGCCAGGGTTGGGGGTTTGCATGAATGTGAAAAAGCCAGGCATATCTGGTCTTCTGTTGTGGTTCGTAATGCAGCGATTTTTGTGTTGCTGTGAACACTGCAGCGTTTTTTGTGTTGCTCTCAACACTGCAACTTCGGCTTGCGAAGGGGTTGAGAGTCGTAGGGACATAGTTTTAGGAAGCGTAGGAATAAAGACAATGGTCGCAAATGGTTCAGGGTTGAGGGTTTAAGGTTTAGGGATTAGCTTGGTACGATATACTTAGCAATGGAAGCCTGTGGTGAAATTATGGTCATGACTGCTGTGTGCAGGTTCGGGAGTTTGTTGTCTGTGCGCGGTTCAAGAAAGATGAGACGAGAGGAGGTGTTTCTGTGAGCAAACAATCTCCTTCACAAGACCGTCTAGATGATTGGCTTCCAATTGCTGAGCTGGCGCTAGTCTCTGACGAAGAAGCGGCAGTCGCAGTGCCAAAGGTTTTGCCCTTTCTTTGCAGGTGCGCTTCTCTCTACGCTCGGTTATCTTCTTCTTCTTCTTCTTCTCCTCTTGCCCGTCAAAAGTATTCACTGTATCCTAGCTAGGTTGCTGGGTTTAGCGTACTGGGTTCGTACCCCAGGGTACTGGGTTTGTAACCCTAGGCACTTGATTTCTAACCCAGTGTACTTGGGTTGTACATTAGGTTAGTGGGTTGTGGTGGCGCATAGTTGTTTTCTGTCAAGATGATGCGCGCAGGTCAATCCTGTCTCAAAATCCGAATTTGTGAAAAAGGGTCAACAAATTATCTGGCGTATGGATGCAGGTCAAGCCTGTCTCAAAGTCCGATGTGTAAACATACTAAGAAAAGGTCTTGGGAAATATATGGTGTGTTGCCATCTATGATGAGAATGTGAATGGATGAGGGAGCCTAGATCCAGACTTGTTTCAGAAAACTGTGCTTGGAGCTAAGATGGTGGTTTCAGGGTTTAACAGGGATCTCAAGTGGTTTCCAGGGGGTCTAAATAAAAACAGTTTTCAGGACTTGCTGTTAAGATAAACGAAGTGGAAAACACCCTTCTGGTGACCTTTGACACACATATCCCCTGATAACAGAAAACACCCTTCTGGCCATCCTTGACACGCATTAGCGTGCCCATGTGACTGAGAAGTATGTACATTTAACTCCAAGTAAATGGATCGTAAGTTCAAATCCTGATGGAATCAGATGAATACAATAATGTTAGTGGCTACCCCTCTTAAATTTAAAAGCATGTGCCCCCTTTTTTTCAGTTTACAATGGCCCAGTGATGGGTAGTGTAAAAGGAAGTTTGAGTGCTGCTGCACTTAGCTGCCAAAGGAACGCAGGGGCAGAAGGGGAGTGCCGCTGGTGTTATTGCGAGTTGATCATGGTACTTTGTGTTCTGATATTAAAGCACTGTAGTATCATGTGCCCCCTTGTTTTCAGCTCATAGAACATGTGCCCAGTGATGGGTAGTGTAAAAGGAAGTTTGAGTGCTGCTGCACTTAGCTGCCGAAGGAATGCAGGGGCAGAAGGGGAGTGCCGCTGGTGTTATTGCGAGTTGATCATGGTACTTTGTGTCTGATATTCAAGCACTGTAGTATCATGATCTTGCTATATGTACTGTGGGGGTTAGCACAGCTAAACCAACTGGGTGGGGGCCAGCTCAAATATACAGCACTGGGCCTTGAAGACGTTGAATGAGAGAACGAAAACTGCTGCAGAGAGAAAGAAGCCCAATGGGCTCAAGAGAATCAAGGTCAAACTGAGACAAATCAATGGAAGAAGCCAGAGTTTTGGCACTGATGGATCAGAAGAATCTGCGTTTGTCGCAACAAGGGCCAAACTCGGAGCAGGATGAGAAGACGAAACAGGTCCCTGAGCTGCACTCTGCAGCGAAAGCAAGTCTGCACCAATGCATGAAATAGTTGGTTCCAATAGGAAGGCAAACATACCTGGATCAGTTTGTGTGTGTGTGTGTGTTAAACAATCACCACAACAACCCGTTCTTCCCCTGGATGTATATGTATCATATTAGAAGCAGTCTTACCATGTGATGTGTGAACGTGATAATCATGTTTCACGGAAAGGGTTGTTTCACTGTCATAGTGTGAGTGGTTCAAGGCCTCCCACATCCGTGGACTTGATCGCAGAATGCGTACACACCCATTTGCCTTTCAGCACACTTGCACTCTGTGCGTGTGTGTTTTAGAAGTTCACCACAACAGCCCCTGTTCCACCCATATGAGTAGATCCAAAATCGATGCAGCTTTACCTCTATTGCCGACAACGAAGCACACTTTCCATGAGTCGTTCCAACAGTGAAACATTTTACCTCTATAGCAAGCACCATGGCGTAGAATAGATCCGTTATATCCATTTCTTGGCTTTCTTTGGGTACCCCCCTTCTTCTTTTTTTATTCTTATATAAAACTAGGATATATTCTTCTATTAAATCACCAGTACCTCGCCCAGCTAAAGAAAAAGCTCGTGACCGTTGACGCGCCGCAACTTTCGGGGGTCAGGGGAGGGGAACGCCTGACAGTACCTCATTCAGGAGGCTGGTCACTACAGGGTCGGGCACTTCGTTTGCAAAAAACAAAAAACAACAAGAAGTACCAGCGCGGCTTTGCCTGCGCCGAAAAGGAGTATGTCAGGGAAGAAATTATTGGATGTCCTAAATACGTTTATTTGGACCTCTGTATATTGAACGGTTAACCTAAGTGGCGGGAGGAATTGGTTTATTTGCACGTGGTTAGGGTTGATTTAATTGATGTGAAATCCTACGTAGCACCGTGTTCGCGTTGGGAGGCGAACGCGAACAAGCGCCCAAAATCCTCCGAACGTGAACATTAAAAAAAAAAAAAAAAAAAAAAAAAAAACCTCAAAAAAAAAAAAAAAAAAAAAAAAAACCCTCCAAAAAATCGGGAAAAAAAAATGTTATGTAAAACAACAATACAAGAAACTTTTGCCTTGGAGTCATGTTCAAATTCGTAGCCAATCATGAGTTAAAAATCAAAAATCGAAAACAAAATTAATTTTTATTTATTTATTTTTTTTACGAAAAAAAATTACGTTCGCCCGAACATGTTCGCGACCTGTTCGCGCGAACACGTTCGCGCGAACGTGAAGGGGTGCGAACACGTTCGCCGTGCTACACAGGTGAAATCATTGGAATGTGTGAAATTTAGGAATGAGGGGAGTGACGGAAGGGGGGTATCTGAAATGCGTTTATTTAAGGTTTGAGACAAAAAAGGGGAAAAAATAAATAAATAAATTATGTTGTAAGAAGCATCTAAGAGATAGGTGAAACACCGGAATGTCTAATGCGAACTGAAGTTCTAAGGCAGATATCCTGAGATGAACAAAATGAATTCATTCTGAGTTGCTTGTGCAAGGAAGATGAGCATTAGCGAACTCCATCAATCAAACAGCATCATACATATGAGTCCAGATAGTCTTGACCTCGAACCAACAGGAGAAATGCATCACGAGATTCACCAAATAAGAACACACCAATAGTTCGTAATTGACAATGCTGAAATAGTCTCTCATCATCATAAACGAAGAACAAGAGTTGATGTCCTATTGGCTCTCGGCGCCTAGACTACATGTGGCAGATCCTATCTAGCCTAATACTACAATGCCGATGTTGACAACAACAGCTTCCTGAAGTACGAGCATACAGCGGACAATGCCGCACGCTTCCAGCACCAGGTATGTCTCTCGCAACACTCACAACCCTGATCCACACCACACAGATGCCACTAGCACCCAAGGACCACCCTGCGCCACACCCAGCTCACAGCGGAGCAGCTCGGCTATGGATGCCCGCTCCTTCATGCTTGCTGGTGAGAGCGTGAGTGCCAGCCAGCCAGCAAATAGCGCAGCAACGCTCGCACAGCATGCAGCCAGCACCCGAATGTAGGCCCCGGTAGGCACAGGCCCAAACCTCACACGCAGGCCCAGGGCCTGATGGTTGCATGTGCCCAACTGCCCTTGGCCTGCTCACGGCCTTTCCCCCGCGTCTGGCCCAGGTCCCCATTCAGATACATTTGCAAAATATGGCCTAGGCCTGGGCGTCTTCAACCAACTGGCGCAGCGCAACTGTCTGAATTTCACCAGTTGCGGGGTACCCTGAAAATCGAGGCCCTGAGGGTCTGTCGCGCCTGCCTTCGCTTAGGGCGGCCGACATGCTGCAAAAAGGGCCCCGAAGGGGCTGAGCGGGCGTAGCCTCGCATTCCCTCCTCCATATCTTCGTTAGTCCTCTGAGAAGATCAATCCTGAGCCATCTGGCGCTTTCCTTTCAATACATCCTTCTCATAGCGGGCAACGATTTGAGGAGCGGTCTACATCAATTCCTCCCGAGTAAACCAGCGGTCCTCCTTCGGATCTGTGTGATGTCTGAAGTGGACACGAAACTGCAGCTTTGTCTTTGGAGGACGTCCCCTTCCCGGAGGCTTCTGAACAGGCATCTCCCTGTGGTCGACGATATCATCGATGTCGACTTCTCCGTCCATCGTTGGGGGCAGCATTGATCGACGAGAGGGAAACTGATCAGTTTCCTTGGCCGCAGCGAGCTTAGAGGCGTGAAAGACTGGGTAAGTTCTGAGATGACCAGGGATATGGATGACATAAGATGGACCATCAGGATCTGTCCCTATGACGTCTAAAACTTCCCAAGGTCCAAAGTACTGAGGCATGAGTTTGCGGGATATCCCGAACTCCTGTCCTAGTTCTGAAGACTTGACCCAGACACTGTCCCCAACCTGAACTGTAGAAGGGCGGCGGTGTTTATTCTCAGATTCTATCATTGCTGCCTGCGCCTTCTGCATGTGCTCTACAGCCTCCTGCGTTTTCTGTTCGTAACGACAAGAGAACTCCAAAGTGCCCGGTGTAACAGTTGGCTGGTTATCAGGAAGTAGGAAGTCTAAAGGCAGTCTAGGCCTAAAGGTAAGATGTAGACTGTCAGGACTTACCCCGGTAGCGCTGTGTACAACGTTATTGTACAGACTGGCAACAAGAGCAAGCTTCTCGTCCCAGTCCACCTGATTGGCCTTAATGTAATGCCTCAACAGGTGTTGAACAGCGCGGTTCATCTGTTCAGCCTGGCCGTTTGCTTCTGGATGGTTTCCAGAAGTCATTTGCAGTTGAGTTCCCTGTTCAGCTACAGCGGCCTTCCATAACTCACTTGTAAATCTGACATCCCTGTCACTTACAATAGACTTAGGCAATCCAAAATCCCTCACCGAGTTCTCCTTGAACAACTTGATTACATACTCGGTCTTCGCTGTTTCCGGCATGGCTATTAATCTAGCATACTTACTAAACCTATCCACGATGACGAAGATCTGCCTCATCCCACTCTTGCTGGTGAGTAGTGTATCCATGAAGTCCATGGACAAGCTTTCACCCGGCCTTTCCGGAATCGGAAGGGGCTTGAGTAGCCCAAGAGGAGCCTGAGTACGGGGCTTGTCTCGTTGGCAAACTTGACAAGTTTC